TTAATTATTAGAATAAATTTAACAGTTTACTCACCTCTAATGGCTAATTATAGACTATTGTCATTGTGGGTCATTAGTATTATCTACATTAATGTCCCCCTGCGATTGGTTTGATAACTAAATGAAATGTTGTTTTTACATTCTTAACGTTAGGTGTAGGCCACAAGCATAATAAAATTGTAATTAGAAAAGTATGAAAATGTTACAAGTAAACATAGAAAAGAAAAATATTTTTTTACAAAAATTATGACAAAAGGCCTTTTTAATTCAATCCAAATAATAGCCTCAAATATCAGTTTAATAATTTTAAAATAGTCTAAGAAATCTAATTAAAAATGCGTGCAATGATAAAAAATATGAACGTTCTTTATGAAACATAGTCAACGCAGTATGTGTAAAATTAAAAAGTCTGTACATATCTTTCACAATAGATGGAAAATGTCTGTCTGATAAAAAACAGATTTAAACTGGAAAACAGCATGTACTTTATATTTTGAAGAACAAAAAGAAGTTTTGGAAGCTATAACATCCTTGAAAAACAACAAAAGCTCTGGTTGGTTAGACGAACTTACATCATTAACAATAAAACAAATAAAATTCGAAGTACTTTAGCCCTATACACAAAGCGGAAAAAGTAAAACCGTTATTTAATTGGAATGGTGAGAAAAGCAACTATTGACCAATGTCACCACTAGGGTTTAAAAAATTATCAGACGCTCAACGAAACTTTAGAGAGGGAAAATCAACACTGCATGTTATACTAAATTTAAGTTCAAAAACAACAGGTCCTTTTTTTTGTTGACCTACACGCCAAGTTTTAAGATGTTGAGATTGATGGTGTCGTTATCGAAACAAAAGAAGTAGTTTCTGGAGTTCCAGAGGATACCGTATTACTATGTTTACCAAAAACTATTTCTAAAATAATAATTTCCGCTAACGAGGCTACAGTCTTCTGAAAAAAAATAAAGCTACAGCCGAAAAAGATTTTAAAATCATAAAATTACTTTTGCAATTTTTGGACTTTGGTCCTTTAAAAATAAACAATATAAAAGAAATTCCGGAAAAGAATCAATTAAATCAAATTAAATGAATTTTAAAAAATTATGGGAATTGCTGCCTACATTTTGAAATCTTGATAAAACTAAGATAGCTTTATCTGTCCTTAGTAGGATCCGAATAAATGCACGTATTATATCGTATTTTCAACAGTTTCTATAAAAATTGTATTTTTGTTTTGCCTTTGGTATCTTGTGTTGTTTAAAATAAAAATATAATATTATAAAAATATTTTTAATGAAGGTATTTATTCATAGTTTACGCATGAATAGATCAATTAATTTCAGAAATGTTTATTAATAAGTAATTTTTAAAATGTAATTGATTGATAAACTTTGGTACAAATTACAACTGTTTGATAGTACCCAACTATTTTTTTTCCTATTTTTTTTAGTTTCCAATAAAACCGTCTATCAATTTTTTTATCATTTAAAAAAATAATACAAAATATACAGAAAGTGTGTTTTTATAAGATAAAAAACATCATTATTTTCCGCCATTTTTGAAGTGCAATATCTTCCAATTGGTTCGCATTTGTTTTAACACCCTGTATATGAGTTACATACGTGCATGACACACAATTATGAACTCACTATCAACGCTGCACTTTATCCTTCCTCTAAGGAAATATGGTAGGAACCACGTCTTTAACGCGACGCACATTCTTTTGGGCAGTAGAAATAATCTTACGCCTTTTTCTGATCGAAACAATACTGCGCCGAATGCGGGAAATTGGAATAAACATGGCCGCCAAGGTTACATTTGACACTTCAAGAGAGTGCGCTGCTGTGTTTATCTACTGACTCTGCGTTCTGGCCAAAGTCGATACTATTTTTTGAATTTAATTAAGTGTTTCCACCCCAATCATTATCCATTATTTCTTTTTAGTGTACTTTACCGTCATTATCGGAACTCTATTCACCAGCGCCACGGTAAGCTACAGGACAAACTAATTTAAAAAAAAAGCAAAAAATGGTGAAGTTTGCTCGATTATAATAGCAAAGTTTTCCATCTGTACCGGGTATCCCATTGAAGATAGAAAATTGCGGTTTACGTGACGCTGAGCTACTTTTTTGTGAAATTAAAGATTAAATAATTATGGCCCTCTTGGTTTCTGAGATACAGGGTGAAATCCAAAACTATCGATTTTGGGACCACCTTCTTATCTCCGTTGTGTTATAAGTTATTAAAGAGTTTAAAAAAAAAACGTTCTTATTGGATTTTTTCCGTAGAATCATCCAGTGACAGGTTTTTTTTGCTTGCTCTAACCGTTTATCAGTTATGAAGCAAACATATATTTTTTTAAATGCATATTATTTTTTACATTGGAAATAATTTAAGCATTTCAGAAATATATATTCGTATAAAGTTGTTTTGAAAATTAAGTTCAAATTTATTTTGCATATATCCCCTTAAAAAGAAATCTAAAACGGAATGATTCGGAGATCATATAGGTCCGTTAGTACCTATCCATTTTTGAGGCAAGTGTTCATTTAAAAGTCCAGACTTATGACTTGGGTCACCATCTTGCTGAAGGTATATGTTATTATAATATACTAAGGGAATATCTTCGAGTAATTCTGGAATGACTTCCTCAAGAATGGTGGTTTTCTGTCGACAAGTACCTAGTGCTATGGCGATTCAAAATTCCCGAACTTGAAAAGAAACATTCTTCGGTCCACATTGCAAGTTTCCGAAAACAATCGTTGATTCGTATTTGTTGCAAAATTGCATCCGACCCTCTTAAACTTGTATGAATGCTATTTGTGTTTTTTAAAAAATTCTTTGGGCAGTTGATTTTGGTACCCCTACTGCTTTTTCTGTGTTTGCAAGATGATGACGGCGTTGCTTCTATGTAACCTAATACATTTTTAGGGCGTGGTTGAATAAAGGATCTGTCGTTTATTTTCAAACGACCATATATATCTGAAAACGGTTGTCCTCGATCTGGATATCTAATATTAACCAAACACAGTCATAGCCAAGTATCTACTTAGCATTATAATAACATAATATTTATCATATTAATAAGACATTATTTTAAAAAACTATATTTTCATCCTGTTTTTTTCGAAATTAAGTAGAAATTAAGTATAGTAATAACTGCTTAGATGTATCTCATTTTTATTGTTTTTTTTTTACTATGGCCTACCGCCACAAATAAGGTAAAAAACGAAAAAACTTGAATTTTGAGCTTAATTTTAAAAACAACTTTATACTAATATATATTTTTGAAAAGCTTAAATAATTTCCAATTAATGTAAATATACGATGTTCCATTAAAAAAAAAACGTTTGCTTCATAAATTAAAAAGGGTTAGAGCAACGCCATTGGATTCTACGGAAAAAATCCTATATGAACGTTTTTTAAGCTCTTCAATAGCTTATAAGACAACGGAGATACGGGGGTGATCTAAAAATCGATAGATTTGGATTTCACCCTGTATCTCAAAAACCTAGGGGGCCATGGTAATTTTGTTGACGGCACCTTTAATTTCACAAAAAAACCGCGTAACCGCGACTCTTTATCTTAAAAAATAATTGAAATACCCCTTAACAAAATTTAAAATGGGATGGATGCACATGTACATATATAATACGTACTCCGAACACATAATAAAGGTAGAAAAAATGGCAAAATAAGGTACGAAATGGTGGATCAATAATAATTTTAATATCCCATTATTATCGTCATTTTTACAAGTAGTTATCATAGCCGACCAATTAAACATCGATTTCAAGTTAATGTTGGCAACACATTAATTTACCTTAATTATACCAATTAGCCGTAGCAACATTCAAAGGGTAACATCTTCATTGGTAAATAGTTATCATACAATTTTCTAATTTTTCAAAAACACGCAAAATGATGTTCTGGTATGGTGGGTCTCAAAGTATATCGTCTTAGCTTTGACGTACCCTCCCCAAAATGTAAGTTTTAAAAGCAACCCGCCTACTTACAAATAAACCTCAGTATCCTGGGTAAAGGATATTGTTAACAGTGAATTATTGAATGAAAGATAAAACGCGATTTTCAATCTCGTCGTGTGGACAATAGTAGACGAGCTAACCAAAAATATTATACTTACTTTAAGTCCAAGTGTGATAAATTTAAATAATATTTAATATACCTGTTGAGAACTGGAAAAATGCAGTACCGCATTGTAATTAATCTTAATGACGACTATGAGAATGAAATATATGTTTTATATCTAAATGAATATAATATAATATTCAATCTTTAATAATAATCTAAAAACAATTTTTGTCCCTCACCGACTGGTACTTTGAGGCAAAGTATACGTCAGTTCGTTTTTGTTACTGTATGGGCGCGAGACACTCTGAAGCGTCGTATTTACTTCGGAAAAACTGCGCAATCGATAATTAAACTGTGTTGATACGTCAAATTTTCGGCGATAAGATTATTTCCGACTGACTAGCGACCTAAACAATAAAAATTATCAATCTGTTATCCAAAGAGCTTATTACACATTAACATACAGTTGAAGTTAGTCACGCTTGCTGGCAGATATCCGACTATGTGTGTGTGTTTTTCTTATCGTTCGTCTGGGTGAATAAAATAATATTTCAAATGTACGGGGCCTCGCTTATCGAAAAAGAAAATGTATGGTATGTCTCAAAGTATACCTGACCAGTCGGTATTGTAGGACAGAGTATTAGGAAAGGACTTTTAAGGTGTTTTAAAAATAAAAAGATCAAATATTACATTATGTTTTATAATTAAATCACATTAGTACTAATAGAATATACGATAACACTAAATATATCAAATTATCAGTAATTACCTAAATAAGTATTTTTTTCGTAAATCCCATTTTACAAGCAATTATTTTATTGATTTGATTGATTTCCTATCTGATTTGCCATTCGAAAATCCTAATTTAAAACAGTTTGACAATTGTCAGACAATTCGATTTTGTTCGCGATTCGATTTAATTTATTGTATTGTATTTATTGTATTTTATATTTTATGTCATTGAACCTAAGTCAAAAAGATTCCTTTTTAAATGTAAAATGAAAACAAAAAAAAACGTTGTGGAGCAGAAAATGACGAAACCTTATAAGACAGGATATAATATTGTAAATTTTGACATCTACCTCACTCGTCCCTTACCTATAAATAAAGTACTGGTTGGTTTCACCCAGTTTGTCGAAAGCCAGAACAATATACTTTGAAACACACCATACATAGACGGATTCTTTCTTATCAAGATTAGCTCAATTGGGAATCGCGTTTGCGTAAGATCGTAGGCGATTTGGAAAGCTTTTGTCGTTCCACGACGGGTTCAAAATTCAAAGGTCAATTGTGTGTTCCCAGTGGACCCATCAACAGATAAAGCTTCGATAAGTATCTATTCTTATTTATAGTCAATCAGTTGCAAAACTTATACGAGATTGTTTATTTCGCGTCCGAAACAGATCAGCAGGTAAGTTTCTATTATTATCAACTTGAAAAAATTCGATATAATTTGTATAGTTTATACGCATAAATCTAAACTAGTATGTAAAGTCTACATACTTACCAAACGGAAATATGGAACGTAATGTGTTTGTAAATATAAGAAACTGAGTAATACCTGCATGGTGAAGCAGTAGAGTGTATTTTTTTAAGTTGTAATGTATTTTATTGCAACGTTGCCAAAAAATAGACATTCTTTCAAAAAAAAACATGCTTCCGTATTATCTCCTATATGTCTCCTTCCGCAAATACCGAAAAAATGTATTATTAAGGGTTCAGTAAAGCGCCAAAGTAATTATTTCATATAGGGTGTTTTCCAAAGCTTTACCAAATTGACAAAGTTAAGGAGAAATTAATATATTTTTGATTTAATTTAAAAAGTAAGAAGAGAAATATTTGTTTGAAATTCGTCAATTTGGCAAGCCATTGGAAAAAATCCTATATTTAGGTTTACTTGATAGGAGATGAAAAGAAAGTATGTTTTTTTAAATATTTAACGGGTCGACATAAATGGTTTTGGGTAAGTCATTTAGCGCAGACCTTTTCCAAAATCTTAATTAATATTGTTTCCGGTGTACCAATTAAGTAATTTTAAATCTAGGCAAATCAAAGTCTGTTTCAGTACTATATAGAATAATAACCGTAAGATAATGGGAGCAGGTACATATAACATAAATACTTCCCAATAGCGACAGTAATTCCTTCAAAAAGATGTTCTCATAGTTCAGGGAATAATAATACCTACCTGACTGACTGACTGACCATTTCTAATTCTCGCGAAAGAGAAAGGCAACGGCCCATGAAAATTCCAGGAAGGCCATTAGACACCAAATGTGTCGCTCTTTCATGCTTGGTCTTATTCGAAAACGTTTTCCATTTTTTCTCCACTAGATGAAGCGAAAACATACAAAAACTGGCCGTTAACAACAAATCTTCCCTTTTAAAATTCTCTTCCTGGTGGAAACGGTACATGGTTAATTAAACTAACCACTTGCAATAACTGAATTTTGTTGCACATTTACAATACAACACAAATGATCTTTCTTATAGTTTTGTAGTATCTTCACAACATGAAAACAGCATATTCTTCGCGATTAGTTGAATCTACAAATAGAGAAAGACAGATGGTATAACAACAATAAGAAAATGACCCTTCAAATTGTGGGCTTTTAAACGTATCTACTCTCAAACTTTTTTACGGAGCAGATTATTTGAGTCTAAGTGCTATATTTGCTGATCATTTTATAAACAAGTATCGTTTAAGCAAGCCCGGAATGAACTTTTAACTGTACTAAAATCCATTGAAAGTGAAAAATACATTGCCAAACAGAAAACGGAAAAGAATCAGCCCCAAAATACTCTCCTGTGGTGTAGACAGTTTATATCAATTTTTCTATTGTCTGGATGCTTAAAAGTTTGTCTCAAAATCATGTTGACTTTTCGTATGCCTGACCTGGACTCGGCGGACTCCGTAGCATTACCTTTCAAATCACCTCAAAATGTTTGGTAGTCTGGTATATTATCTGCATAGTGGCTGACACTTCGTTCGTTTCAGGTCAACATGATTCAAGCATGATAACCTTCAAGACCAGAAAGAAATCCCGCGACATCGACGACCAGTCTGTATACTGATCCATAATCACCGACGAGCGACCATTGACCAGCGAGATGCCTTCCGTGGTGTCGAAATTCCTCGAAAAGGGCGAAAAGGCAATCCACGCCCATCAATCCGTAGTATCGGGCGCCATAATAGGGGCCGCCCTGTGCGCGTACGCGTACAAGATCGGGTACCCGCTGGTGGAAAACTACATCTCCAAACCCAACAGTGAAACCGTCAACAACATTAACAACAACGTCGTGAAGCCGGCTATGCCGCCGCAACAGAATGGCGACGCCAAAACTAAATCGGCCATGTCAAAACGCCGGTCCGTGTTCAAGAACGGCATACCTAACCTCAATCTCGCGTTCATCTTGCAGTTCATCAAGCTGGTGCGCATCATGATACCGAAGGTGTTGTGTACGGAAAGCGTGCTGCTCGGCGGACACACGACGTTCCTCTTTTTGCGGACTTTTTTGAGTATTTACGTGGCGAACTTGGAGGGCGCGATAGTCAAGTACATAGTGCGGAAAGAGCCGCGCAATTTCGTACATCAACTGATGAAGTGGTTCGCGGTGGCCATTCCGGCGACTTTTATCAACAGCATGATTAGGTGAGTTCGAAATCTGCAGATGGCTTGTCATCTTGCGATTGCCCATTGACCTGTGTACTTTTTTTGTCGGAGGTTGGAGTCGAAACTCCTAAAATCCGGAACTATTGGCTTAAAATTAAGCTAGGAAAACAAAAATTAGGCCAGGATAGAACTGATAACTGTTGTATATACTCTCACATACTCACACTTTCACTGAATTTTCTGGCTTTTTAAGTCGCTCACATCCCAGCTTTAAACCAAAAACCCCAGTAATACATCAGTTCATTCAACTGTTTTATATTTTTAGAACTCGATAATCTTTTAAGTTTATCACTGCCCAGCCTCGTTGTCTTGGATTTCCTGAAACCGGACCTGTCAGATTTAAGACTCTCATAGCCCATATTGACATTAAAGTAATATAATAGTATTTATTGAACTGTCTAAGCGTTTTAAGTGTCTCATATCCGGAGCTTTTAATTAAACTTATACCCCAGTAACACTATAGCACTTATTCTGCTCTTAGCTTTTTAAGTCTGTCGTAGCCTCAACTTTAAAGTTAAACTACCCTAGTAATATTAAATTAATTCAAAATGTCTCAAGATTTCTAAAAACCTTAAAGGTTAGGGTTAAATTACGTTATTACCACATTATTTATTCAACTTTTTTAGCTAGTTAAATCTCTCGCAGACCAGCTTTAAATTATTCAATATTCAGCTTTTTAAGTTTCTTACATCCCCAATATTTAATTAAACTATAGCACTATAGCATTCATGCAACTGCCTTAGCCCTTTAAATTTCTCCCAGCCTCAGCTTTAAATTACACTACGTCAATATTAATATTGCGATCATTATTGGTAATCATTTTAAAGCACACAAACTGTGATCTCGTTCAGAAAGGACGGTGTGAAGTTTGACAGGAAAAAATTGATTAGATCGATTAGAATAATTGATAGCTACAAAGTGTGATCTAATCAGAAAGGTCTAGCGACGGTTATGTAAATTTATTCAAAAATTGAGACTTTTAAATAATTGCAAACATAAAATTCGGATCCGTTATACGACATCAAATTTTTATGGGCACAGTCATCTGGCTCCGCACGCGACGGCAGTTTTATTTATCTCCGTAAATCTATTTGAAAATTGCCTTAAATGAAAAACGCTTTGGAATCAGTTCAAAAAATAATCGATTTTGCTGTGGCGCCTCAATTCAATTTCATATAGCGTCAATTGCACAAAAATCTTAAGTTTAGTCAATTTTTGTCATCATCTACCATTCTACCATATTCACCGTTGGATCTATTCCGCAGGTACCTGGAGAGTCGTATAGCGCTAAGCTTCCGCACACGACTGGTCGAGCACTCTTACAAGCTCTACTTCAAGAACCAGAGTTACTACAGAGTAACCGTGCTGGACGGTCGGTTGGACAACTGCGCCCAACGATTGACCGACGACATCGAAACGGTAGCCAGCACCGTGTCGCACTTGTACGGCCAAATCACCAAACCCTGCTTCGACATCTTACTCATGGCGATCGCGTTGGCGAACTTGGTGAAGTCGAGGAATGCTAATTTGATAACCGGTCCGGTCATCATCTCCGGCGTCGTCGTGTTGTCCGCCTTACTTTTGAGGTACATTGTTCAGAATTCGTACTGAAGTGGCTTTTACTTCTGAGAGTGAGACTGAACTACTAGAAAAGGGTTTTAATTTTAATTTAAAATATCCAAACACAAATAGGGAATTAGATAATTTAGGCGTCGAGTGCGAAATGGCTATCGCCAATTACGATCCTAAGCCAAACAAACACATTTTGACTAATTTAATTAAATCACAAATCTCAACTAGCAAAAAACATCAAGAACTTTCCCAAATGTCCTTAATTAAAACAATCAAAATTAAAAGTTCCCAGAACGATATAGTATTTACTCGAGCTGATAAAGGAAAGACAGTCGTAGCTATTAATTCTTCAGAATATATTTCTAAAACCCATCAATTTCTTCTATCCCTCTTTCTGCAATAAACTTTGAAAAAAAATTAAATATTATAAAATAAATAGCATTCAACAATGCACGTCACGGATAGATAAAATATTAACTAAGAAACAATTTCAAAAAACTTTGAACTCTATATATCCCCTCTCTAGTACTGAATCTCAAGGTTTTAAAACATTAACATACATAGGAGAACCTAGTAATAAAGTTTCAGATCATCTCTCGAAATGTGGCCTCAAAATTCCTTTTAAAACTAATAACACCCTAGGAAAATTTGTTAAAAACAATAAATCTAAATCTGATAGATCCCAGAATTCTGGAGTGTATAGATTAAACTGCGGATCATGTTCTAAGATTTATATTGGACATCGACGATAATTTAAAAACAATAATTCAGATTCTAATTACGCTATACATTTAAATTTAGAAAAACACAATTTTGACGACAATTTCGATATTTTACACCCTGTTTCAAAAAGTAGAAAATTAAATTTACTAGAAGCTATGAAGATTAATAAAATGAGAGGTTCCAACGTATTACTTAATGACCAACTGGATTTGAATAGATCCCCCTTGTTAAATCTCAATTTAATACCTCACATTAAGTAATTACTACCTGTTTTGTATTTATAAACATCGGTACCGTTTGATATTCGCATTTGATAGAGGCACGGTGTTGCCGAAACAGCTGTCACTTAAATATATTTATGTGAAAATCTGAACAACGTTTGTTCTTATTTAACTGTTCAGAATTCATTAATTTGTCAAGAATCCCTAGCATACGTTTTTTCATTTAATCAGTAACTAACAATAGCCTCGCATTCTTAGATATTTTTATCAATAAAAAATCGGACCTAACATTGGGTTATTGTGTTTACAGAAAACCTACGCACACAGACCGATACCTTAATGCATTGTCACATCACCATCCAGCTCAAAAATCATCGGTTATCAACCCTCTTGTTTACAGAATCGTAAAACTATCTCAGCCCGAGTCACTGAACCCAGAATTAAAACACCTTCCCTCGGATCTTCTCTCTAATAACTTCGACATTAAAGATATTAAGCATTCTATCATAAAATATACTTCACCACAACCTTCCAATAACAATGGGCCAGAAAGCAATCCCACGCTTGCCACTGTTGTCTAAAGTTCTAAAGAAGTATAACGTCAAAACCGGATTTACCATTCCGGACGAAAAATATCAGCTAGGCTCAAAAAACATGGGAGCCTCAAGACCAAGACAAACAAACTCATCAGCAGTTGTCGAACACAATCACGAAACCGGGCATAAAATTTTATCCCGACTATAATTTTTTGTTTTCTAATGAATTATAACGGTTAGATTTCAATTATACACCATCCACTGTAACGAACGCACCAAAAAGTAATTACTACTCCATTGGTGTCAAAATTAACTTCTCTAAATTGTGGTTTTCTATGGCTCAAGCAGTTTTTGAAATATTAATTTTCATCATAAGCAGAGAAGGCTGCTTATACATCTTATAATCTTGCTATTTCATGTCATAATTATTTGTTAGTGCCGTTACGTTACTTCCGTCACAAACTTTGAATCTTTGGCCACAATCTCTTAATCTCAAGCTCATGAATGATGTGGTAGAGTGATCACACTATACAGTCATATTCGGAATTTGACTTTACTGATCTAGCATGGCCCAAACTTTTTTCCAGAATTTGTTTTGGACAAAAACAAAGCGCCCTTTTTCTACCGTTGGTTCCCTCGCCATAAGTTTTATAACATTCGTTACTTTTCATAGATGTAAAACTCCAAGAGTAAAAGTTTTTAAATACTCTTCCTAAAAACCCTACAAAAATATTTTTTTAAAAATCTGAAGTCTGCAACGCTAAAATTTGTATAAAATAACGGAATGACGGATAAAACTTACAGCAATTCGATATTTAAGATAAGCTATAAAACCCAAGATTTCGTAAACCCGTTATAAATAAGCGTTTGCCTTACAATAAAATATTTATAAAAGCTGTTATACAAGCCTAGATTTGGCTTCTAAATGTCCGTTACACCATAATCAAACCTTTACAAATTCTGTTATTAAAGGTAAAGTTTCTTATAGACCTCTTATACCTACGCGAGCACACACCGTATAATAAAACCTTTATAAAAATTGTAATAGACGCTAAAGTTTCTTACAAACCTCGTATAAATATCTATAACTTTTATAAAAGCTAAGATTTTTTATAACCTATTTTAGAAATATCTGTTACCTTATAATAAAACCTTGGCCGCGAGAAATGTTAGCTGGTTACTGTTCCCCGCAATATTGTTTGCGGATTATATTTAGGTTGGTGTCTCCGAAGTTCGGACACCTCGTGGCCCAAGAGGCCGAAAAGAAGGGTTACCTGAGGCACGTCCACGGCAGAGTGGTGAGCAACGCCGAAGAAATCGCTTTCTACGGCGGCCACAAAGTCGAGCAGAGTCATCTGCGTAGCGCGTACAGAATACTGGTTCAGCACATGGAGCATATGTTCGCCGTGAAGTTGTGGTTCGTGATGCTCGAGCAATTCCTGATGAAATACGTATGGTCCGGTACCGGCATGATTGTGGTGTCGCTTCCCATCCTATTGCCGAGCAAAACCAAATCGAAACTCAAAAGAGCCAAGCGTAACCTCTTATCGTTACCGCTACCGACGTCTGATGACGACAGAGCGACCGATTTGGAACCGATTGAAGATTCCGTTTCGGAAAGGACTCATTACTTTACGACTGCAAAAAACTTGCTCATTACGGGGTCGAACGCCGTCGAACGCCTTATGAGCAGTTACAAAGACGTCGTAGAGTTAGCTGGGCACACCGCTAGGGTAGCGAACATGTTCAGCGTGCTGGAGGAGGCGAGCGAGGGCATCTACCACAAGACGGTCGTCGCGAAGAAGGAAAAGAGCGGCGAGTTCGAGGTGGAATTTAAAGGGGACCAGCCGGTCGCCAACGGCAAAGTGTTCGTGTCCAACAACGAGATCATTTTGAGAGACGTGCCCATCGTTACGCCCAACTGCGACGTGGTATGCCCGTCCCTAACTCTGCACCTAAAGCCGGGACAACACCTGCTGATAACGGGACCGAACGGGTGCGGCAAGTCGAGCTTGTTCCGCATCCTCAGCGGTCTGTGGCCCGTTTACGGCGGCGAGTTACACACGCCCAAGAATTCCATGTTCTACATACCCCAGCGGCCGTACATGGTCATCGGGAACCTAAGAGATCAGATCATCTACCCCGATACGTACGCCGACATGATCAACAAACAGGTCACCGAGCAGGACCTGTTGAAAATCATGCGGATGGTTCATCTGGAGCACATCGTCGAGCGGGACAGTTTCCACGAAATCAAAGACTGGACGGACATCTTATCCGGCGGCGAGAAGCAGCGCATGGCGATCGCCAGGCTCTTCTACCACAAGTAACGTTTTTTTTTTTCGGGAGTGCCGTATCCCTCGAGGTAATCCATCGTATTGCAGGCCCAAGTACGCGCTTCTGGACGAGTGCACCTCTGCGGTCTCCATCGACGTGGAAAGCAACATTTACCAGACCGCCATCGACATGGGTATCACCTTGCTCACTATCACGCACAGGCCGACACTCTGGTAAGTCAGCAGCACAAATCAGACTTTCATACACAGTGCATACCACGCAAAATATATTGCAGTTTGTTGTCAAAAGCGTCACCGATATACGACGGAAGGTGTCGCAATTTAAGACCTTAAGGACAAGCCGTTGAAGAAATCTCTTTTAAGTGTTGTCATAAATGTCATATATAAAACCAAAATCATTCCAAACTTTGCCAAAATCAGTGTTTACAAAAAAGAACTATTATCATTGCATGCAAACAATTAAAATTGTTCTATAAATTAAACTATTACGAAGATAAAAAAGAATCTCGCAGTCGGAATCTGCGCTGTATATACTTAAATTTATTTAATATTGTACATCTATAATGTGCGTTTTTTTAAATAACATTTATATGCAACAAAAAATATAGGCGATTTCACCTAAAACTTCCTAACATGTATCCAGATACTTTATGAAAAGTATCTTGACGAGGAGAACTATTGGCAACACAATGACTTCGTCATACATTTTTGTTTAACCATAGCCAGTAGAAAGAGTAATAAATTTTTGTCTTCTTGCGTTGGGCACATGAGTTAACTTCTTCGTTGATGATGCTAGTCTTTTATTTATTATCATTTAGAATCAGTCTTTCCCTTCTCTCTGATTTCCTCTATTCTGATTCTTGCGAAATTCTGAGTGTATATCTCCTGAATAGGCCCGCTGGTATGCCATAAATCTCCACAATGTTCAGGGCATGCTTTAACCGGATCTTATCATAAACTTTTTCAATGTCAATGAAGAGCAGAAACCGCGGGTTTATTTATACTCCAAGGCTTTTTTTTTTAATTTCTATAATGGTCATAGTAAGTTTTAGATCAATATTGGGTAAGTTGGGTAAGGGTTCCCCTTTTCATCCTTTTTAAAAATTGGTATGCACTTTTTCTATTTTTTTGGTATCTTACAAAAGGTGAATATTTCTTATCAATAGGATGATTTCTCCCCATAACAATTTAGGCGTCTTCCATTAGCTATTTTATTTATCTTATTTATTATTATTTATTTATTTTTCTAAAATATCGCCTCCATTAATAGTTCAAACGTAAAGGTCACAATAATTCACAAAGCGAAATCCGAAAATTTCCAACATTTTTAAGTTTCTCATATATTTTACGTGGTATGTGCTACAAGGCGTTTGACGTCTGCATGATATTCGGCAATCTAGGAAATTCCACACCCATATTCTTCAATTCGACGGAACCGGCTACTGGGAGTTCTCCGAGTTAAACTGCGTTAACCGGCTCGACCTCAAGCGGGAAAAGGACGAACTGCTGAAAGCGCCGGACAGCCGCGAAAAGTCGGAACGTTTAGCGGAATTAAATAGGCAATTAGGAGAGGATGACGTTTAATTTATCTATTTGTTAGATTTGTGTCTCATTGTACCGAAAGGAGTGAGGGTGGAACTGTGATTCATTGGAACGAGGAGTCTCCCCGGCAGATTTTAACCCCCCCGGAGTCCTCTCGTCCAACTTAGATTCGGCATAACCGTTAAAATTGTGCAGCGTCTGCATTTATGCGTTTGTAAATATCATTAAATTCTATTTAATAAAAGAAATAAAGCGATTGAATGTGTTTCACTTTAACAAAAACCTACAACACTCTCAATGGCACTTCACAGTAACGGATATAGTAGAGGTAATAGACTAGGATTGGGATTTACGCGCGTCTGGAACCGTTTGAACAATGTTGGCAGCAAGGAGAAAACTGAGAGTAGTCCTTCTCGCTTTTGTTAACGCTTGTAAGGTATTTCGCGTCCTTCGCTATCGATTCGGCAAGCTCGACGGTAGAAGCGAGACGCGATATATTAAGGAACAAGAAACTAAATACGTTGCAAGCCAATTGAACGTCAATGTTCTTAACATTTGACCAATGTATACATATTGGAAAAAATATATAGAGGAAAAAATGACTACCTTCGTCGGTACAAACTAGTAGGAAAAGGCTCCCAAAGGGCTGCTTAAAAACAGGACGACGTATTAAATACGGACGGCAGTCCACACTTGCGGGTGCTTTCAAAAAAGGTCCATGCGAGTTGTACGAATTAAAATTTGAAACCTAAAACAAACGATTTATTGACAGAATAACATTTATCTTTTCTTGTTGCGTTTTGGGTTGTTCTTTCCGGCGCTCTTCCTCTTTTTGCTTTCGCCCTCCGCTTGAGCCACGCCCTCCAATTGACTCAAAGGTAACACGCCGAAGCCGTCGATGAAAGGCTTGACCAGCTGAACCGTGAACTTTTCGTGCTGGATATTGCTGGAGTCGAGCTTTAAACGAACGGTGACCTGGTCGAAAGTGTGCAGCACCACGTCCCCCGCCTTCTGAGTCTGCCTTTCTTCGTCGTACTCGAACAACGTCTTCCCGTTCTTCTCCGCCAAATAGAGTGTCACCTCGAGACCGTATTTCGGGATCAAAATCTGCACGGCGTTCTTTCTAACATACAAAACGTATCCCTCCTCGTCGTTCAGTTTGCCCTTGAAGAATAAGTGCGTGTTAAAAGCGACCGATGCTCGTCCGGCGTACTGAGCCATTCTGTTCCTGTAGTTCAAGTTCTGACACAAATCGTTGCTCTTCTTCTTATCCAACAAGTCAGGATACGTCGAGTCCGAACCGCAAGTGACCGCTAACAATCGGTGGACGATGATATCGGCGTACCTTCGAATGGGCGACGTAAAATGTGTATATAGAGGCACGGCTAGGCCGTAATGGAAGTACTCTTCCTTCTGTAACGTCCCGCTCGGGAAGTAAACGGCCTGCATCATACACCTGGTGGCCAACATTCTGAGCATGGTGTTCAGATAGGGATTGTCTTTTTTCACGGCCTTATCTAAGGATTCCGCGAGGTTTTTCCCGCAGTCCACTTTAATATCGAATCCCAGATGACGGCCCGCCTTCACCAGCGGATCAAAATTGGTAGCTGGCGGTTCGGGATGCCGTCTAAGCATCGCGCAATCGGGAAACTCTTGCAGAATCTTCTCCGCGACGCTTATGTTCGCGAGCAACATGAACTCCTCTACCATCGAGTTGGTCTCGTACATTTTTTTAACGGCCACGTCTATCGGTTCCATCGTCTCGGAATCCATGAGGATTTTGACCTCGGTCGATGCTAGAACCAGCGCCCCGTTCTCCAACCTCTTTCTCTTGAGGATCTTCGCCAGTTTGTTTAAATTTCTCAACGATTCAGCGATAGAATCGGTTTTCGTTTTGTCGTCTATCGTCAGCTGCGCTTCTTCGTAAGTCATCGCTTGCCTGGACCTAATTATGCTCTTGTGAAATCGCGTATTCAAAATGTTAGCTTCGAGGTCCATCTCCCAGACGCAGGAGAAGGCGAATCTCTCCTCGCCACCCCTTAACGAGCACAAATTCGAGCTGAGTAACTCGGGAACCATGTCTATCCGTTTGTTGACCAGATAAACTGTGGTGGCTCGAGAAGCGGCTTCTAAATCGATAGCGGTACCCGGACGGATGAAATGAGATACGTCGGCTATGTGAACGCCGACTTCTAGCTTGCCGTCGGCGATAGGGCGACAATGGAGGGCGTCGTCTATATCGGTACAACCGGGCGGATCCACCGAACAAATATCCACGTGCCTAAGGTCCACCCTTCGTTTTTCGTCTTCCTCCGTTATAACCCAAGGTAGTTTCGGCAAACAGCTCAGCACTTCTTCCGAGAACTGGCTATGAGGCACGTCGTGTTCTAACAGTACCACCTCGTTCTCCGTATCTTGGCTCCCGATCCGGCCCAAAGCCCTAACGAAATGACCGTGGGGGTACCGCGAGTGTCTCGGCCAAGAATCTATGGCGACGATGAATTTTTGAGTTCTTAGAAACTCTGCCTGACGTGTTTCGATAACAATCTTCGGTATGGATCGGTCGGCCGGCACAAACAATTGATAAACGCCGTCCGAACCTCCTTGCAAAATACCGCAATATTGCCGCCACTTTCTTCTGATTACTCCCACAATTTTACCTAATTTGGAACAAACGCAAAATGTACGATGTGTGCGATACGACTTTTTAAAATTTTTTAGATATTATCAATCAAAATCGTAAGAGTGAGAAACCACTTAAAAAACCTTACCTTACTATGGGTAAATATAGGTAAAGAGTTTTTTAAACCATTTCGGTTGGCGTGTTATCAAGAGAATTATTATTGTCTCCTGTTATCGCCAACATTTTGATGAACCGATTTGAAAAAAAGCCTATCAAACGGTCATGAGGAAAACTAAGACTTTAAGCACATCATCTGGAATAACGATGAAAAGAACGTTTTTCGTATATCATTAATATTACGGCGACAACCAAGTTTACGATGAAATAGTCAATGGAAACTGTGATTTTTAGATGTTCTGGTCAAACGAAGCAACCAGCAGATCACGACATCAGTATATAAAAAGGTGGACAATATCTTAATGCCGCTTCAAACAATTCCCAAATGATCAAACGAAAGGTAATTATGTCACTTCTGGAAATGAAGAGAGAAAATTACTCAGCATCTCATATGGCAGAAGATTATCAGGCGACACACTTTGCTGTGTACTCACTAAGACAAAAACCCTCTGAGCAGAAGATACCAAAAACTACATGCAAACTCCCATGTCAATGCAGTGAGGTATGTATTGGAAAAACCTGTACAGACTCAGGGAAACGCGCATTAAAGAATACTAAAATAATAAAAAACTCACGCACCAGCAACTCCATCGACCAAAATTCACATTTCTAGGGATTAACAGTCACTCCTATGAAGAAATACTTAGCAGAGTAAATTTATTGAAAACTAACTGTTCCGCCATTCTCTTCGAGATAAATGTTTTGCTACGTGGACGGAATAAAAGAGTTTCCAAAAATATTAAAAGGCAAAATGCTTGAATAGGAAGTATAAATAAAACATTTCATATGCTACTGTTATCAAAATTCTAAACCTACCTGTAGGTTTAATGTCGCCTTTTTTCTTTTTCCCTGTCTGTTTCAGCTCCTTTTCCTGCTCTTCTATATCTTCAACATTTTCTTCTGAAATTCCTGCATCTTCTAGCACTATATCACTAGGCGAGACCCATTCGTCTTTATTTAATAACTCAATAGCCACAATATCGCCATCAACGGCCCTATTTAATCCATTCCTACCCTGAACTATCACCTGATCATCAATTGATTCGACATTGACGAACCCTTCTAAAAAGTTATCTCTAGAAGCTCTGTAAGTACCTTGATACAATTTTCCTTCTCTGACGCCTTCGAGCAATTCTACAGTGCTTAAATGGGGCGGGAAAACCTCTTTGCCCCCTGAATGATGAGTCTCGCTTTTGGACAATTTGTCTTGCAACATGCTGTTATTTTCTATATTTTTCACATATTCAGTAATTGAATAAGATGGTATATTCTCTTGCTTAGCTATACGTCTATTATTAACATCGTCTGTTAACAAAACAAACCTTAAACTTGGTAGATGCTTAATGTACCATCGGCAAGCCTTCCGGATACATCTATCATTATAGTCATTTACCAGTTCTCCATCTTCTTCAGGCAAATATGTATCCTTGTGGTGGTCATTGATGAAAATGTAAAAGTGTCTGTCTGGATTCTCGATAATACTGTTTAGTCTTTTGTAAATGGGCATATTACGATGCTTAACTTCTTTAAATACGGTATGCAAAATTATAACATTGCCAAGAACTGATTCTTCCAAAATATCTATTTGGTGAAGTATTATGTTGGTGTCTAGAATGATGAAATGGTTCGACTCAACGAGAGAACACTTATTTATGTGGTCGAGGGTCAAATTTGTACAGGTATTTTCGCAGCTTGAACACTGAGGACATCCGCAGGAAATATCGTCTCTGATATAATGTTCACGCACATGTTTCAAAAAATTTCCCACTTTATTTTTCTTTATGAACGATTTCGTGGTGAACATTTTTAAATTGTTAATTCACCCACTAATTAAACTTATAGGTTATAACCGTGGAAAACAAATCATGTTAAGGTACGTTAACTGAACATCAGTAAAAGTTAACTAACCAATCTCTTACCTTTCCTTCCCACACACAAAAAGAAAACACGAGAGAATGTAGCTTTGCCGAAACTAAAACCTTTTTAAAAAGAAATACAACACGAGGCGATTCGAATTGACTTTAAGATCTCTGTTTTGTCTGACTTACAATAAAATCGTTGGTTATAGTTTATAATCTATATGATATTGTAGTTCTCATGCTAAATTTAATGTCATAATTTAAATGGCATACTAATTTCAACACCTTCATTCGCAAACGTATGAAGATGTGATTTTTGGATGAAAACGTTATTTTCCAAAATAAAACGTCAAACTAACAGCTATTAGTCGAAAGCAAAATCGAGACAACAATAATTCAAACTCCAGAGTGCAAATGCATTTGTCTCGTATAATGGAAATTAAAGAAAAATTAATTAAAATGGCAAAATTGTCATCCCGAGGATGGAGGCTTAAGGCAATAAATTTTGGCGTGAAAGTGAAGTGTTAAGACTTGCCTGTACAGATCGAGACACGCGAGTAAGTGCGAATGTGTATGGGTCAAAACTCAAGGCGCGTTCTGTTCCAAGCCCGGCTCGAAGCGAATCAGATTGTGTCTGAATTTTAGGGCAAGTGCAAAGGCCAACTTCATTTTTCGCACAGCAGCAGGCCCGACCAACTGGTGGATCTCGAGGTTTACCTGAATAGTGTGTGAACGCAATTCGTTTCGTACTTGCTCGCGTACTTACTTGGACACACTTGCCTGCATGTGTATTGCCCCCATTACACGGTACGGTATAGATGACTCACCCGTTTCATGTCAAGCCAATGAACACATTTTTGCACTTGTAACGTAACATTATTGTTCTTTCTTGAAAATATCCTAATAAAATTCACCAAACCATTACAAAATACCGCTATCAGAGAATATAGAAACGGGACAAGTAGTGTCAAGCATAGAAAATAAAGATAGCGTTGCCTTAAGGACGACGTATTTTTAACTGACTTGCCCAGTACGCTCGATTTGATAAAAAAAGGTGACATAATTATAAGGAATAAAAAAAAGCAAAGTATATGCTGCTCAGTTTTATTAATAGAATAAAAACTCAAGGGATAAAACAAAATTATATTATTTACAAGGAGGCAAAGTACATAATAAGTATCCACCTCTTCCGCTAAGGTCAAAAAGGGACCATATTGTATCAAACATACAAAAAAATATAAGAAATGCAAACAAAATGCAGTTGATTTTCATAGATCTGCTTTGGTGTCGAACATTATTAAGTACAATGTTCCAGCCCCTTCGTTTCCTCTTGCGTGGCTCATCGTGCGCCCGTCAAAAGAATAATATAAGTTATCTTAACCGTAATCTATCTCGTGCAAATATATTGTGTGTGGGTTAAACCGAATTTCCGATATCCAGGAGATCCATAATATATATTCGACTGGACATTTCGAGTGTAATACTATCGAATTAGACTATATATCGACAAAAATATCACAATATGTGATTACATACTTCCGGAGAGTATTCACAGTCAACTGTAAGCGAGTTCTGCAGCCTCGCTCTCCCGAGAGAGAGACGGGGTTGAGAATGGGGGAGGGGCGCATTCATTGTGCCCCCCATATTCAATCCAAGCTCAGGCATTCTACTTTTCTCTTGATTTTCGTGTTGCAAGAGAGACGCTCCTTGAGCCGGAGGTAGTTCGAAAGCCTAGATACTCCGTATTCCTAAAATGAAAAAAAAATCCGATAGAGGCGTCGCACAGTGAGCTGTATTTCAGAACTAGGTTGACATTAATTTTAGAACAAACTTATTAATACTTACAAGGTATATTTCACTTTTTTGATTATAACTAATTGTTTTTGTTTGACCAATACTCAAAAGAAACGATTATTAATATATAGAGTGTTATTCCAGATTGGTACACATTTATGTTCCTATACAAAAAGTTGGGCGATTTTAAAATCATGTATTAATATCTAAAATTTTATTTTTACGTAACCTCACATGAAAACATGTACAGGGTGTAACAAAAAGCTAAATTCAAAAACCAAATTAGAGATTAGTGGGCCAAAAATTTAATGGAAATCAAATTGAAAGATAAACTTTACTAAAAAAGTATTTGACTAAGTATTTCATTTGAAAAATTATTGTAAGCAGGAACATTAGTATTCTTGACATTTTGAAGTAGTTTACCTATAACCACTAACTAAAAGGCTCGAAGATATCATCAATATTCTCATTAGACTGTTAAAAAGTTTTAAATTCTCCCAACATTCTGAAATTTTTATTGCGTGTTTCTTGAACTTCCTGCGATAACTGTCCAATTGGCACAATACAATTTTTAATTATCTCTACACTATAGAGTAAAAGTTTCTGGACGGTTTTTGTACCGAATATTGCTTAAAATTTTCAAAATTAATTTGATATCCTGAAGAAGCACACCAACTTTGGTGGTTCTTTAAAAAAAACTCAGCAGTATTGCCACCATTAATGTATCCAAAACCTGGCTTTGGCATATAAATAGTTGAACCCATTTCTGTTCTCACTTTTCTTTTTATTTCTTATTTCCTTTGTTTTACTTCATTCTTTGACCTGCCTTGATTTCACAGTAAATTTGTAATCGAGATGGTGTTCTTTTAGATTAAGATATTTTCCTAGGAAGTTTAAAAAGCCATCCTCTGTAACTTTATTACAAAAAATCGCCAAACTTATGATCAGAAGGAATTTCTAAATTAAAAAATACTGCTTTTATTTCGATACTTGGTTCTTTTTGTTTTTCAAAGTTTTCCCTGTAAAATTAGGTTAGCGTGTCATACATTGGGCTTAATTTTTTTTAACCAAATATTAGGGGAAAAGTCTCCTATACTATCAAACCTTGCCTTTGTCAACCTAGTTTGGTTTAATTGCCCTCTTAGCGACAGCGAATATACTAACCCAATAGCCAAAGGGGATTTTGGAAGTTTCAGCGTTGATGATGCCCCACAACGTCCAAAACAGGTGCGAAGCGAGCGTGAAGACTTCCACCTCTCGCAGCACCTTCGTGACGTTCTCTCGCGAGCCGCTTTCGTCGAGGTAAGCCCGGATAAACGTCAACCGTTGCTTTTCGGTTGGATAATGGCGGGGGTTTTCGGTGTAGAAAGGGTACGACGTCTCCTCCTTGTAATCGTAGATCCACTCAACGAAATGGTTGGCTATGTCGAAGCCGCGATAGTTGTAAGAGCAGTATTCAAAGTCTGCAAAGATAGGGTTCTGTTGAGTTAACTAAAGTGCTAAAGTTTATTTCAATCAAATTATAAGAGAAAGGCAAAAAAAAGAAAAATATCATATTATGCTTACTTAGATTTATTAAGTGACCTAGGGGGTATCTAAAAGCAACTACATTGTTATTGGTGGTGCGCATGGTACCGCGGAATAATACTAATTATTTTTAATAAATTTTTAAAAATTTAAGGGATAGTTTTAGTTTTGTAAGAATCACTTAATAACTGTTTATAATTTAAACCATAAACTAACAAACGTTTTTTAAGTCAGTATTAAAAATATATATCAAATTTTATGTAGAGATTTTTTAAAAAGGTGAAAAACAAATTTTTCTTATTAGATTTTTTATTAGTCTAAAGACATATTTAAAGCTACAATGAATGAGCTTTTAGCTGTATATTTAAAGAGAACAGGACAGTTTATCATATTATTTAGGAGTAGATTGTATTATTGTCGGAGCTAATCTTATAAACCTCAGTTTTAAACCTTCTTCCAGTTGTGCAGTATGTCAGGTATAGTGACGTAATCAACAATGATCCGTATGTCTTAGCTATATTGCTACCACTTTTATTAGATGCGAAGTTAAAAACTGAAAAACAAAATTCCTGTGTGAATTTACGACATCCAGGAATGAACTAGATAAAGATATCATGCTATAAATGCACAATTGCTCTGAGTGGACTTTACTAGAGATTTTTATAAAACCTTAATTCACTAAAGCAATGTATGAAATTACATTAACTCTACAATACTTAAATAAATTAAGTGTTATTTATATAGACATAATACAGCATTCGGTACAAGTAACGTTATTATTTGAAGCTGTAATAAACCTAAACTTAGTAAAAAAAAAGTTGCTTTGGCTACGAATTACTATTTAGATTTACACAAAACATGGAAAACTTTAACAGAACCAAAAGCCAATATTTGTTAAAAAAGTGGCCTTAGTTTCTCATTAAAAAAAAAGCCACAATTCCTTTCCAGTTTCAATCACTAGAAGAAATAAAAATCGAAAAATATTCTTATTACTCGAATTTTTACAAACCGGGCAGTCTAAGACGAGTTGTACTTTTTTCCATTTTAAAGAACATAAAATGGAAACATCATTAAATGTTTTGGTTACAATTTGTCTTCTTGCTTAGGTGATGAATGATAATGCGAAGTCCAAAGGGTTGCCTTATCATTTTGTAAAATATGCTGTTTTGCAACATCATCAAAAATTTTATGTTACACTAAAATATTCTCAAGATATATATACATTAAGTTTCCACAAAAAGCACATATAATTTTGTTTTTAGTAGTATCCTAATTTGGACCACCCTGTATGTAACGATTGTCCTCAAATTACAAATGAAATAAAACAGCACTTTCATTGCACGTTACAATTGCAGCGAACATACTATGAATCTTAGAATGGTTAGGTTCAAATATTATTTTCATGAATCTCGCTTAAATCGTATGATATTGATAAATCGGAAATGTTTGATAAAAAAAACAATTAGGTGTAAATGCTTGCGCAATTTCATTTAAACTTTTCAAATTATCACGCGAAACTGGTAAATCCAAAAATAAACAAATTAACACTGACTGAATTGTCGAATTTGTAACTGTATAGTTCGCATAGTAACATACCCGAGGTCAAAATTATTGCTTGACAACACGAGATTAATATAGAAAAAGGAGAGGAACAGTCACCAAACATTTTTCGAAATTAAGTATAATTGAAGAAATATCAAAATAGTGGGTAAAATGTATATTTTCACCATCATAGCATTCCATAAACCAAAAACTATTCAACTGATATGATTAAGTTACAGTTTTTGCATAATTATGCATTAAAAAATGTAAGAAACTTCATCGATTTATTCATTCGCTATTTTTTAGTTTTTTAACAAGTTCAGTTTCACTATAACTTGCTTTACGAAAGTCTTTTAAAAAACGCAACCTCTGTTTTTAAGGGGTGTTTTTTTTCGATATATAGGACTTTAAGTTGCAATAAAACAACGATGGATTATTCGATTGACATTAATTTTATTTATCCGATAATCTTGTGGCATTACATTTTAAATATGATTTCTGGCATATCACCGCCACGGCTGGCGCGGATGTAGTCCAATCTGGACGTCAATTTTCGATGACTTTTTCCAACATTTGTGGCCATATATCGGCAATAACACGGCGAATGTTGTCTTCCAATCATGGTTATTCAATTCAGGAATGAAAGAGTTGGTAAGCATAGCTCTATACCGATCACCATTGACTGTAACGTTCTGGCCGTCATCGTTTTTAAAGAAGTACGGACCAATGATTCCACCATCCCATAAAGCGCACCAAACAGTTAGTTTTTGCTGGATGTAACGGCGTTTCGACATACACTTGAGGATTAGCTTCGCTACAAATGCGGCAGTTTTGTTTGTTGACGTAGCCATTCGACCAGAAGCGCGCTTCATCGCAAAACAAAATTCGTTTATGAAAATCGGGAACAACGGCAATCTCGTTTTGGGCCCATTCGACGAATCTACGCCTTACTTGATGATCGTGTGGCTTCAATTCTTGCACGAGTTGAATTTTGTAAGCATGTAAACCAAGATCTCTCCGCAAAATCTTCCATAAAGTGGATGGACACAGATCCAATTCCTGTGCTCGATGGCGGATGGACTCATTCGCGTTTTACTCAATGCTGCACTCTACAGCAGCAATAGCTTCTTCTGTACGCACCGTACGGCGCCTCTGGGGATGCGAGTTATCAATAAGAGTAAACGTGGTGCGAAAACGTTCCATGGTTAATCGAATTAACTGCTCTGATGGACGATTTTGTTGACGATAAAATGGACGTAGTGCGCGATACGTATTCCGCACAGAACCATTATTTTCGAATTAAAATTGCACTATTTGCAAGCGTTGTTCAGGCGTCTATTGACGATGAATTGCTAAAGCAAACTGAGAATAAATCACTTGACAGCTATTCAATCGGTCGCCATCTTGAACAGTAATGCCAACCTAAAGTTCTATACATCGAAAAAAAACACCCATTATTAAAAAAAGCAAAGCAATTGATGACGTAGTCATGGAAAAATATACATTATAACTAAATAACTGAATAGTTTGTTGTATTTCATCCTACAAGGTTTATCAGTGCAAAGCTTTCGCATCTTACCACGACCTTTACAATTGCAAACAACAAAATCCTTATCGTTGTTTTAACGATGGCCATAAAAGTGATAAAGCTACGGGATCGCGAGTTTTTTTTCGCGGATATAAATTTGTTTGCGAAAATATTACGTGCAGTATAGAACATTTCAATTATTCCTTCTACCGTGACACATTGTAAACAATTTAATTTGCATCGCCATTGTAATTCGAAATGAAAACAAAAACGCACTGCCCGGGAAAAAGTGTCACCGTGTACTTGAGGATTAACACCGCGCAGAGGATTAAATTACGATTTAGCAAATGCCTCAAATATTGAAATAAAAGATCGTAGTTTTAACAATGCCAAAAACGCAAGCCCAAGTTTAAAAAATCCCATTTCGAGTTACGTCTGGGGGTACATTAATACATTGTTTGTAGACATTTTCAGAAGAGTGTTAAGGTAAACTTTGTGCAATAAAATTATTCTTGACCCCTATTGCAAATTCGATACTAATAAATACGCTTTGTTGTCATTTTTGACCACTTACCATCTTACCAGTTTTATTGCTATACTCCGTTTCTTAATTTCAAAGAATTATAAATCATTAACTGAATTGAACTGTAAAACTTGAAAGGTTTTAGCAGTGTTCCATAGGCGTAGTATCCTATCGATGATATTTCCCTCATAAATGAGTATGAGGGAAATATCCAACACAAAGATGTTATATCATGCGCATTCGCATGTTAAATGAATCTTCTCACAATTTTCCCATAGTTTCTTGATAACTTCCTGTATGTATCCCGTTTTTTTTTTTTATTTAAAGGGTATTAAGAAAATTAAGTATACAAAAAAGGCATAATAATTATATTGACTTCAATTCAGTCCATTTGTTTTTTTAATTTAATATGCAAAACGAGAAAATTTATAAATAGAGGTAGAGCGGTATACTACAATCAAGTCATTCGTCGCCAATTATTGAGACGAAAAATGAAAAGGAGTGAGCAAGAAATTCGAGCAGCAGTTTTTGAACGTTTCGAATAACACAGATACTCATGACGTTAAAATAAATTTTTCAGTTATATTTTAAATGCTTAAATAGTTCATTATTTAATTAATTAATCATGTTTGTAATTCAACTTTAGTCGTATTTGTTTTATTGTAGTACATGGGTATTACTCATTTGAAATATACACTATTTTTCTTGTATATACTATTGTACCAAATGCTTTCGAACTTAGAAGAACATCATTCACATCATTCGTATTGACCTATCTACAGTTTTCTTAATAACCTTTTCCCGTGAGCTAAAATAAAGGTAACTTTCATCACCAACATATTAAATAATTTTGCTCTTAGTGTGAGGTCAAGCAGGAAAAATCTCAAAAAAATCAGAATCTAACTGAAAGAATGTTTATTAGATAGATAGGTAAGAATCATCGTTTTGGAGGATTGGGTCTGAGAGATATGCTGCTAAAACGAAATGTTGAACAGTTTAAATATACGAGGGTCACTTGAAAAGTTTCAGAGCTAACAGGACATTTTTTCTCTCTATAATTCTATACACCCCTCCCCGCGATGCTAACCCGTCCAAATAGTATCGAATGTTTTTCTCGGCAAAATAATTCTCCACATTTGACGAAAACCTTGTCTTCCGAGCGCAGTTTTCAAAGGAAGAGACAAAAAGAAATCGCTTGGGGCTAGATCTGGCTAGTAAGGCGGACGGTCAAGCAGTTCAGACCGTAATTCGTGGATTTTCGCCATGGCAAACGCTAATGTATGTATGGTGAAACACAATTTGTTTGCAAATGTGGCCGTTTTAAGCAATTTCTCGGCTTGTCAAGTAATGAATACGTAGCATACTCCTGTAATGGTTTTTCATTTTTGAAGGTAATAGATTGTGATGACTTCATGACTATCCCCAAAAACAGTCGCCATCACTTTCCCAGTCCAAAAAACAGTTTTTGCTTTTTTCGGAGTCGGTTCCCCCTTCGCAGTCCACTGTTTTTACTGTATTTTTGATTCGGGTATATAATAGTGCATCCAAGTTTCATCTAGAGCAATTAATAGGCGTTAAAACTGTGATTTATTGTGGTTAAACCCGAACGTTCATCATCTCCTGCCCAAAATGTCACTGTGGTAAATGACGGTGTGGAGTTCCCACACTCAGAGTCCAACTTAAATTTTAATTTGCGTCGGCGTACTGCCATTTAAAAACAAATATTTTATAACAGCTCTATACTCAATTTTTTCCATTTTCACTCAAACGACTCTTAACTAAAAACCACGCGTCCAAAATGGCTAATAAGTAACTATCAAGAGGTGCATAACTACGATCAGCAGCTTTTAGTAAATAGTGCCGCGAGGTCGGAAACTTTTCAAGCGACCCGCGTATAGTGCGCCGCACTCACCGATAATGACTATGCGGGGGTCCTCGTCCTTGTCGGCGTCGGGCGACATCAAAATGTTGCCTTCCTGCATGTCGTTGTGACAAAACACGACGGGACTGTTCTCGCGCTCCAACGTCTCCTTCAGCCATCGCGTTTCGGCGTTAAGGTCCACCTTGTCGAGCAGGTCTCTTGCAAATTCGGGGACGTCGCCGGCGAGCTTCTTCTCGCACGTCTTCAGCCAACGGTCCATCGTGTTCCAGAGCCAGTCGGGCTCCTTGTGCAGCGGTACCTGGAACACGCGCGGGTAACGATAAACCTCGCGGATCTCAATAACCGTCAGCGAAAGTTTTTATTTAATTTATTAATTCATGTATAGAAATCGAGAACTTCGATCGTGTCGTGAGCGACGTCCGACATGTTTTTCGCCCGAGCGAGACGGCGCGAAAAAAAAAACTACATATCGGCTTTTTCTTTTTAAATTTAACAGGTAAACAAATAGAACGAAGATTTGGAATATATCAAAAGGAGATTTTGCTAAAACAGTCAAGTTGATATTGAGTGTTGCAGGGTGTCTTATAAGCTATGAAAATAACAAGATTTATCGATACGGCGTATTGAAAAATTGCAATAATTTAAAAAACGAAGTAAAACGAAAAAAACGAAAGTAGTGTAGAAGGTGTTTGTTTATATTTTGCACCATTCCTAACTACCTTTTTATTTATTATCTTTTGGCACTTAAAGAATAGAAAAAAATGTTCTTGATATCAAGAAACATTTTTTTCTAAATAAATTAAGATACTATGGACAGGTTGAAAATAACATTTCATTCTCGAAAAATTACAATAATTTTAAAACGAAGCAAAACACAAAATTTAAAATTAGTGTCGAAGGTATTTATTTATATTTTGCACCATTCCTACATAGTTTTTTTATCTATCATCAGAAAGCATTTTTTTCAAATAATGAAAACGCCCTGGACGGGGCGAAAATGAAATTCTATTCTCTAAAGTTTACAATCACTTTAAAACGAAAAAAATACAAAATTCAAAATTAACGCAGAAGGTGTTTATATTTTGCACCATTCCTACCTACCTTTTTTATCTATTATCTTTTGGCATTTATAGAATAGAAAAAATGTTCTTGATATCAGGAAGCAATTTTTTTTTAAATAAATTAAGATACTCTGGGCAGAATGAAAATGACACCTTATTCTCGAAAAATTACAATAATTTTAAAAGAAGAAAAATTCAAAATTCAAAATTAGTGTACTTTTTTTTTAATGTATTATCAGAAAGCAATTTTTTCAAATAAATTAAAACACTCTGGAAAGGACGAAAATGAAATTTCATTCTCTAAAAATTACATTTATTTTAAACCAAAAAAATACAAAATTCAAAATTAATGTAGTAGGTTGCACCATCCATACGTACTTTTTTTTATCTATTATCTTTTAGCATTTATAGAATCGAAAAAATGTTCTTGATATCAGCAAGGATTTTTTTTAATAAATTAAGATACCCTGGGCAGGATGAAAATGACACTTCATTCTCGAAAAATTACAATAATTTTAAAAAGAAGAAAAATATAAAATTCAAAATTAGTGTACTTTTTTATCTATATCAGAAAGCAATTTTCTCAAATAAATTAAAACACTCTGGACAGGGCGAAAATGAAATTTAATTCTCTAAAAATTATAATAATTTTAAAACGAAAAAAATACGAAATTCAAAATTAGTGCAGAAGGGGTTTATATTTTGCACCATTCCTACCTACCTTTTTTATCTATTATCTTTTGGCATTTATAGAAGGGAAAAAATGTTCTTGATATCAGGAAGCATTTTTTTTTTTAATAAATTAAGATACCCTGGGCAGAATGAAAATGACACCTCATTCTCGAAACATTACAATAACTTAAAAAGAAGAAAAATTCAAAATTCAAAATTAGTGTACTTTTTATTATCTATTATCAGAAAGCAATTTTTTCAAATAAATCAAAACACTCTGGACAGGACGAAAATGACACTTCACTCGAAAAATTACAGTAATTTTAAAACGAAGAAAAATACAAAATTCAAAATTAGTGTACTTTTTTATCTATTATCAGAAAGCCATTTTTTCAAAGAAATTAAAACACCCTGGACAGAACGAAAATGAGAATGCATTCTCTAAAAATTATAATAATTTTAAAACAAAAAAAAATACGAAATTCAAAATTCAAAATTAGTGTACGAAGTGTTTATATTTTGTACAATTCCTACCTACCTTTTTTATCTATTATCTTTTGGCATTTATAGAATAGAAAAAATGAATAGAATAGATATCAGGAAGCATTTTTAAAAAAATAAATTAAGATACCCTAGACAGGATGAAAATGACACTCACTTCATTCTCGAAAAATTACAATAATTTTAAAACGAAGAAAAATACAAAATTGAAAATTAGTGTAGGAGATGTTCATTTATATTTTGCACCATTCCCAAATACCTTGTTAATCTATTATTAGAAAGCATTTTTTTAAATAAATTAAAGCGCCCTCGACAGGATTACAATAATTTTAAAACAAAGAAAAGTTTAAAATTAGTGTAGAAGGTGTTTGTTTATATTTTAAACCATTACTTTTTTTGTTATACCTTTTTACTTATTACCTTATCTTTTGGCATTTATAGAATAGAAAAAAATGCTTTTGAAATCAGGAAACAATTTTATTTTAAATAAAATAAGACACCCTGTATACGGTGAAAATAAAAATTAATTCTCGAAAAATTATAATAATGTCGAAACGAAGATATCAAATTTAAAATTAGTGTACTGTTTCGTATTAGAGATAGAGCGTTATGATTTTCTTAATACCGTATTCGATTTTCGTGAATCCAAAGATGCGTTTTTCAAAACAGTTCTAGGTGGCTTTGTTTTCGAGGTACAGGGAGAAACAGAAACTTTGGCACTTATATATTTTTTTGAACTTCGATTGGCTTGTTATACGATTTCGAAAAATGAGAAAGAGTACTTCCACCATTCTATTCTAATTTTGTTCCACTTAAAATATTAATGTTTTAACATGAATGCAATTATGTAATCTAGAGTAGTCTTTTTAAAGTATAATGTAAAATCTTAGATAACCAAATCGACAACTGTAAATATTTAAAATTACTGCATTTTTGGAAAGCATATTATATATTTTAGAAAAGCGCATTAAAAATTATATTAATGACAAAAAATCAGAGAAGACCACGGCATTGTTAACCAAAACACAAAGGGTAATTGAAATGGTCAAATTTTCGGTTTCTTCGTGCATCTCAAAAACAAAACCAGCTATAGGATTATTGTAAAAACGGCATTTTGCGTTCGCGAAATCAAATTTTCGAATACGGGGAAACAGAATTCGGTATTAGTTTTAGACGGCCTTTTTTACCCTGTAAAGCTGAGACTGTTTTGACTTCAATATTAGAACAGAGTCATTCTTCGAACTTTTTTGAATATTTTGAAATTTTACAAAGATTTTAACATCTTTACCCACCTTAAAATTACTAAAATCTTTAGAAAATTTAGATGTACTTTGGACACGCCGTACTGAACAAATCTTATTATAGTTGCTCTGCAGTAGCATTGTTAAATCGAATAATAGCCTTTGTATAGTGACACCTTCCTTAGAGCACAATGAAGGGTGCATGCGGTGAACGCTGCGCCCCCTTCCAATGGGGCCAAAATGCATTAATGGACGAAAAAACATGCCGGCAACAACATGCACTCGCGACTCGATATGCTTTTTAAAAGTGTGAACGAGTGAGGTGAGCAAAAAAAAAATGTGGTGGATTCCTACTACTGCCCGGGCGCGAGCGACCCTCTGAGCACAGGTCCGTACTCGACGAGTGGCGGTGGGCCCCCGACTGCTCCCAACTCCGTTTTTTTCATGCATGTGTCGGAGTGAGACAGATAGATGGCTAGAACAATATAAATAACATACCCCATATGTGTGACAGGCACAGAGGACACTTAAAATCGTGGTGCGTCCGGCCCTGTCCCCCCGGCAGAGACAACGATTTGAACCGACGAAAGTGATAATAAAAAATAGAAAATAAATTAGCGAGCAATAGATAAGCGATTTTGGCTGCGGGCTGACTCGTTTTGAGTATAGCCGCCCACCCAAATTCGAAAAAAAATACTACGAAATGGGCTATTTATCCTACATCTAATTCACCAAGGTTTAAATTAAATTAAATACTCGGTACGCTCCTGTGCAAACTATGAAGATGATGTCATACAAAAAAAAACATGATTTGCGGCCCCTTTTACTTATTCTGATTTTTAGGATACATTTTCATTAACCAAACTAAAGTCAGTTTTTATCAATTTTTAATTTTAATAGCTATTGAAATCCCGCATTCGTTAGATCTGACATTACTACTTATACTTTTATGTTTTTAGTAATTTTCAAATTATCTTTTTAAAGCTACGATTTACTGTAACAACTTCTTCCATTTTATGCTTATTTTCAAAATTAAATAATGCGAAACACTTCTAATTTACGCCCAAACGTTATTTCCGATGTCCTTTTTTTGTTTAATTATTATTTATTTTTAGGGCCAAGTTATTAAGCGGTTTTTATAAATAATAAAATAAAAAACAGTTTCCTTTGCTTAATATTTTTTTACGATTTAGTGGTGTTTTCTGTTTCTGTTTCGTTTCAGTATTTTTGATAATAAATTTACTTTTTATTTCGTAACAACAAATAAAATTTCGATCAACATGCCGGTTTATCGATTAATGGGACGGTTGTAGTCCCCATTACATCACATTAAAGTAATTGAAATTGAAGAAAAGGTTAGGTTTGGTTTAATTATAGGCTATTCAAAAATGCAAATGGATTCCGGACTATGCTTGTTTCTTAATGTTTCTTAATATAAATAAATAAAATTAGCGGTCTTAGCCCTATTTTACATATGATAACTGTCAAAGGTCCCGTGAGTGGCAGGTAGTTGAACTGCAGTGTATAAAAAAATATTAATTTGTTAGTTATCAATTTTATACATTTTTAGGAAATTTTGTTCTTGCTTCAAAACGAAATATAACGGTATCTGCCATATCACTGTGAATTACACCCCATAAACGTGATATATAACCACTTTTAAAATGAGGAATATTCAAACTCTTGCGAGTCAAACGTGTCAAACATGCGATTGAAATAGAAAAAAAATATATGGGAAGCTGATAACTTGCAGCAAAAAACTGTAGAGCCCTATATTATTCCTTTGAACTCCAACGACTATAGGTCATCTGATTACTCCCAAC